GGAATGGCCGGGGAATGACCGGGGAATGACCGGGGAATGACCGGGGAATGGCCGGGGAATGACCGGGGAATGGACGAAATCGGAAAAAACCTAACATTTTGAAGATTTTTGATTAAATATTTTCATGAATTGTTTTCGTTGCGTTATGGCAAATGTAGCATTGAAGTAAATCGAAATTACAGTAATAGGATTAGGCGACCGAAGCTATGTTGTTTGTGTAAATGTCGTTTCGTTTCGTTGCGTTATGGCAAGTAATCAGCCGAACCGCACATTGTAAGTACAACGCAAGACAATAGACCTTGTTATATAGTTATTGTCAAAGTTCAATTTCTCTGTTTGACGATTGATCAAAAACGTACCACGTAACAATAGAGGGGTTAAGATACCCCGGTTTCGGTGTACGTGTACGGGTAGCATGATTTTGGTTAGCAATTGATTTTCGTCGATGTCTGTACCTTTACTCGTAATTAAGGCGCACATTTTTCGCATTATATCGTTTTCTTTTTAGTAACGACCAGAAGGCTTTTTTTATAACAAATTTAATAAATTGTAACAACGTTTCGGAGTTTACTCCATCATCAGGTTACATTTATACGCACTAAAAAAACCCCGTTTTTTTAGTTTACATTTAAATGAGGCTTAGAGAAAGTTCGCTTCTAATCACATTATATCGTTGTTTATACAAGAAAATAGAAAAGTATGATGGAATTATAGACATCAGCAAAACAAGATGACACTACTCGTACCCGTACACCGAAACCGGGGTATCTTAACCTCTCTAATGAAACATTTATTGACCGGTTAGCAATAGAATGGGTGCAATGCGCATGCGCGTCAACCATGAAGTTTATTTATTTATTTACTAGCTTTGTCATAAATGACTGGTGGTCCCTACAGCGCTTGTTTCCCCCATTCACAGGGTCCCTTAAACTAAACAGGCTTCAATTACAACACATTTTATCTACAAGACTACACGAGTGACATTTAAGGAGGTTCTCTACAGTTTCCAATGTATGTCAGTGTTTTAAACTAAAACCTATTTAATTAATTTAATTCTTAAAAAAAACTAATTTTTTGCACAAGCCATTGTTCCCTTTTATGTAAAAGAGTAATTTTAACCCACAATCGCTACTCTTCACGTTACCATGACAACAAGACGTCACCATCTATATGGCCCATATCAACCAAAAAAGCCGTCTTAGCGGACAAATAAGCACGGTGACCTACCTTTTTTATTGCAGAAAATACATTGTTATGAAGTTTTGAATCTTTTTGAAAGTTATTTGAAAATCGCCAGTGTAGTTTTCGGGAAACTAAATTTCAGCCTTTAAATTCAGTTTCTCGAAAAGAACAAAAATTGCTTCAAAGCTGATTGTGTGAAACGTGATTTTCCAAATTTATGCTTTTGAAAATTGAAATCTTGCTTTAATATCCTCAGTGTGCTATTAAGGTAACATATTGGAATTGAACTTTACGCATATTTATAACCTTATAAGTCCTTAACCCAAAGTTCCAGCTCTAAACAACTGCAAATATATTTTGATAAGTTCTCTATATACAACGTGAGGATTGGGTGACAGTGTAATTCCAATGTAATGACTAATACAGTAGTAATACTAGTAATAATGATCGTACGTAGGAATTAAACTTGCTACGTTACATACACTGGAGAAATATTTATGTTTTAGTGTAACAAGTGCATAACAACAATAAGGATTATCGCTAAATCCCAGAAAAGTCGGAATATTCGAATGCTTTATTCCGTATAACAGTTTTGCCTTTTTTATGAACCGGTCTTTGGCCGCTGTGGATTCGCCTTTAAACTTCTTAACAACAACTGTTTTCTCTTCCGGACCGTATATTGCGCTGTAAATCGAACCGAAAGCACCACTGCCAATTTCATCAACATGTTTTAGTAATTCCCAACTAAATGTGGGTAAACAGTGATCTATTTTTCGCCTTTTTATTAGTGAAGGAAATTTAAAGCTTCCCTGTACTCCAGACATTTTGAATGTCGGCAACCAAAAGCTGTTTGCTGACGTATTACACTATTTTATTTCACCTTTTGTCATTTGAGTATGTGGCACTTTGGGGGCTATCTTTAAAACAGGGAACGGGGAATCCGGGAATCGGGGAATCCGGGAATCGGGGAATCCGGGAATCCGAGAATCGGGGAATCGGTGAATCCGATAACAATTTAAATAAAAATTTTATTCAATTTACAATTTATGCAATAAAAGAAAATGAAGCTTAATCGAAAGTTTGACGTCACATCAAAATTGCAGGACACGAAGTCGTGAAAAAAAAACAGTTTAATACTTTTAAACGGGCATTTAATGTAAACTTCACGCAGGATATAAACTAAAGCGAATGTGTAATAGCCATGATTGCGCTAAATTAAAGAGTTTCGGTATGCATTGTCGCCATTTTTTGTTGGCACTTACATGTAATATAATATTTCATTGCTTTGATTGTGATTGCGATTGTCAAATATAATAGCGGTAACACGTTTACAAGTCGCTTTTTCCTGCTGACATTCATGATGTAATATGATATTTCATTGCTTTGATTGTGATTGTCAAATATAATAGCGGTAACACGTTTGCCAGTCGCTTTTTCCTGCTGACATTCATGATGTCTGGAGTGCATGGAAGCTTTAAAATGCCATCGCTAATAAAGCGAAGGCGAATAGATCATGGTCTGCCTCCAACTGTAGTTTTACTAACCAAGACTGAACACCAGAGATAAATTTGTACAACTGAAAGTCTGAAACTATACTTTAACAAAACTTTATTTGTAAATGTTGCGGAGTTTGTACTTTGCTCTCGCCTGATTATGTTTTTCGTGACTTCGACCGTCCGAGTTGTATATCAGGCGAGAGCAAAGTACAAACTCCGCAACATTTACAAATAAAGTTTTGTTAAAGTATAGTTTCAGATTAATTCAGTTGTACAAATTTATCTCTGGTCTTCAGTCTTGGTCAGTAAAACTACAGTTGGAAGCAGATCTATTCGCCTTCGCTTTATTAGCGATGGCATTTTAAAGCTTCCATGCACTCCAGACATCATGAATGTCAGCAGGAAAAAGCGACTGGCAAACGTGTTACCGCTATTATATTTGACAATCACAATCAAAGCAATGAAATATCATATTACATCATGAATGTCAGCAGGAAAAAGCGACTGGCAAACGTGTTACCGCTATTATATTTGACAATCACAATCAAAGCAATGAAATATTATATTACATGTAAGTGCCAACAAAAAATGGCGACAATGCATACCGAAACTCTTTAATTTAGCGCAATCATGGCTATTACACATTCGCTTTAGTTTATATCCTGCGTGAAGTTTACATTAAATGCCCGTTTAAAAGTATTAAACTGTTTTTTTTTCACGACTTCGTGTCCTGCAATTTTGATGTGACGTCAAACTTTCGATTAAGCTTCATTTTCTTTTATTGCATAAATTGTAAATTGAATAAAATTTTTATTTAAATTTTTATAAAATTGTTATCGGATTCACCGATTCCCCGATTCCCGGATTCCCCGATTCCCCGATTCCCGGATTCCCCGATTCCCCGGATTCCCCGATTCCCCGGATTCCCCGATTCCCCGGATTCCCCGATTCCCGGATTCCCCGATTCCCGGATTCCCGGATTCCCCGATTCCTGGATTCCCCGATTCCCGGATTCCCCGATTCCCCGTTCCCTGTTTTAAAGATAGCCCACTTTGGGCATAGTTTTCAATGTGCGCTTCCTATCTCTGCTTCCTATCTAAGCACAATGTAAAGCTTAGTAAGAATGTAAGATCAAATTTCGAAAAAATACTGGATTGAAATGTCATCATTACAAATGAAATTAAATTTTTAGCATAGAACTGGACAGCAAGAATTTACTCGAAGGTTAAAAAAATGTTGTGTGACACAAATTACATTTAATGACAGATTTTCGCCAGGTTTTTAAACGCCGCGCTTCCTATAGCTATATGCCGCACAGTGACAATGGAATTAATACTGTTACCCGATCCTCACGTTGTATATCAAGAACGTATCAATAAAATATTTGTATGATTGTATCCAATAATTTATTTGCAGTGTATAGAGCTGGGGCTGTCGGTTAGGAGTATAAATTTGCGTAAAGTTCAATTCCAATATGACCAATATGCTAATGTTGTCTTGCGTTATACCATTACTTTTATTGGCTTATAATGTGCGGACCGGCTGATTACTTGTATGGTTAACACTGACAAATATTGTTTTATTCAAGCCAAACAATAAATCAACATGAGAATGATAAGATCGTATAAACATCTACATTAATAAAAAATATTTTATTGCGGTCTCTACTATAGCTATGGTTTAATATTTGTAACGTGCCGAACACAATGTCAATGCAAAACAAGTGCGCGGAGTCAAAGCCAGAGTGGCAAGCCATTTATTAAAGTAAAGCACAATCTTATATAATACAATTGCGTGGGAGCCTTAATTGGCCTCTCCCAAGAAAGGAACTACGTAATTTACAGTAACAACATAGCTTCGGTCGCCTAATCCTATTACTGTAATTTCGATTTACTTCAATGCTACATTTGCCATAACGCAACGAAAACAATTCATGAAAATATTTAATAAAAAATCTTCAAAATGTTAGGTTTTTTCCCGATTTCGTCCATTCCCCGGCCATTCCCTGGCCATTCCCCGGCCATTCCCCGGCCATTCCCTGGTCATTCCCCGGCCATTCCCCGGTCATTCCCTTCCCCGTTCCCTTCCCCCATTCCTCGTTCCCCGTTTTAAAGATAGCCTGTCAAAAATTATTCAACATGTTGAACATTCAGTGCTAATGACAGGCATGCCGGAAATCTCTCAAAACGTCCCCGCACACCTGAGAAACTTGCTTACGCCAACAGTCACGCGTGACGCTCAGCTCAGCTGATAGCTCTAGTGTGCGGCGGGCTTAAGATATGTTATGTGTTTTGACATGTGTTGAATAATTATATTGGCTTACAATTATTACAATCTCAATAAACCAAGTTTCATGCCGTTTGGTGTGAACTTTCGAGGAGTTCTAGACTAGACTGTAGCGGTTTCCCAACAAGTCCAACAACCTAACCGAACAACTAAACCATGCGGTCAGGCAATTAAAGGCAGTTCGTTATATTATTCCAGTTGATCATAACAAGTTGTTTTGCAGATCCAGCAAGCACTGTCGCCACAAGGCGGTTTACTCTTTACCATGGGAACTGCATAAATGGTCGATATGGCATGGTCGAAATTCGAAAAAATCGATCGGTCAAAATAACTCATTGGATCGGTCAAAATAACTGAACCAACAACCTGTTATCGTATCATAAAGAAAGAGATCACTATAATTATATTTGTGCAAATTGTCTGCCTATATTGTTTTAAGTTTCACTTAGGATGCTTTGAGTCATTTTAAGTTGCTTTAAAGTCGTTGTTAGCATATATTCACTGGTCCATGCCAACCACAACTTGGACGTTTGCGTACAAACATCTGAATAACTGAATATAAGCTATGCTAAGCAGGGATGGATCCAGCATGATCTGGTAGGGGGGGGGGTGCTCTGCCAGCTCTGGTGCCGAGTTGTGTCGGTCATGTGTGCCGGCCGCCCATCAACTTGCTTCACTACTGCAAAGTCTTGCTTGACTACTGTATTTGAATTGTAATTGTAGTTCACAATTCGCTTATCATCATGTTATTACTCAAATTACTGTATCGCATTTTGCCTCTAATAATTGTTTGCTTTATCATGAAAAATAGCACCCCCTCTGGCCAGGGCTAGGGGGTGCACACCACCCCCAAAGTAAATCCATCCCTGATGCTAAGTCCTTCGGTGCAGGTCAACTAATAAGACTTGGCTGTATATAGTAAAAGGTTTATACCTTAATTAGCCATTCCAAAGTTGATGAGAGGACTGGGGACAAGTGTTAAAAAGCGCCACAATTAACAAATTAACCAAATCACTAAAAAGACCACCTCAAAATTAGTAAGTATACAAAGTTTGAAGACGTTTACATAAATACCCTTCGAATAATAAGCTTTCGAAAATTGCGATATCAGTACTATGAATTAAATGTACTGTAATTTTTGTTTTGGGGAAATTGGGGACGCGCAACCCAAAAACAGTCCTTTAATCAGTAATTTCACCATTTTCGAAAGCTTATTATTCGATATTATAACTGTGGATGGCAACTTGTTCCCTGGTGATCAATGACAATGTCCTGGATTGACAAAATATCTTTTAACTGTATTGATTGGCACGCAAAGTTCGTTTAACTCACTTTGACCCGCTGACTAATACTTTCCAATACCTAATCAATTGGGAAATAGAATACTGTTATCATTATATCTGAAATGCATAATCTATAGCCTTGTTTAGTTTGCAGTTCCTGATTTAGGAATCTTTGATATTTGTTATTCATGGAATTTCAAAAGCACCACCGACTTCATGCTGAGTTTCAATGAATATTTCTGATATTTTGCTTCGCCTCGTTGGTTCAATCCGTGTTCCACTTTCATAACGCGTACTTGAATTGAAGTGTTCCTCAATTAAAGAAGATGTTTTCAAAGTGTTTTCATTTTGTAATACTGACGGTGATTTTCCTGTTAATCCAAGGTACGTTTTCTGTCGTTTATAACATGCATTCATATTTCATGTGCTTTCAGACATGCAGTCACTTCCGCGCTGAGCCTAACCTTATAATAAGTGACAATCATTATAAATCTAAACTATACTGCACTCTGAATATAAAAGATTGGATTAATTTAAACTTCATTGGCATTATTTGAACCAATTGTGGAGTTAATTTTTTTCAGGAATGGATCAGAATAATATACTGCTTGCAATAAACATTGTACAGCAGCGACTATAACACTGTAACAGCCATTCAGTTTACGGTTAATAAGGTTGCATGAGCTTGATGCATCACTAATTCATGCTTGTTTAGACAAATGATGTATACTTATGACTTATGTGATATAAGTCATATAAATGAGCTGTGAAAAACACTGTGTCTTCAACAACCATCTATTTACATGGTATTTAATATAAACTCAAGCACACAGATACGCAACATGAGTCCATTATTTACTTCAGAGTTCGCTATTTATCTTGATTTTTGTGTTTTGTTTCAGGCGCTGCTTGTTTCTTTGTGAAACATGTACAGACAGGGATGTGTATTAATGACACAGGACTACTACAATCGGACGGGTCTTGGGGAAGCTTATCTTTTGTGGAACTTTCCAACAACTGTTTGGATCTAGCTGCTCAGTCTCGTTTTCTTGATAATAGTGCCATGTTCAATTTGAAAAGGAAGGGATATTTTGAGGCAGTATTTAGGGCTGGTACTGGTTACGTACTTGATATGTTGTATATGCTCCTTGCTTCAGATCCTTCACATAATTGTATTCAGAAATATGCTATAACCCAGACCTCTTGGGGAGGTTTATTTGTATATTGAAAGGGCATCGTAAGAGCACATTTCAGACATATGGTGTGTAGTTCCCAAAACATATAGACGAATGAAAGATCAAGGAATAGATCCCTACATCGGATTGACGGCAGATTGTAACGATGCAGAGGATAAACGTTTTAATTTTGGTAAGTTGTTTTTATTTGTATGCAGTTAATTTGTTTGATGTCTTTGCACATAAATAGTGCCTTACTTGGGTTTTGCAGTCTGCATTTCACATTTACTTATTAACTGAGAAAATGCATGCATGCAGCAACCCCTCGCCTTTCTTAACAGATGAAGTATAAAAACTCCATATAAAGTATTAAGACTATTATATAGCTTTATAATGAACGATAACATTCACTGCAATTTCATGCATACCAGCAGACCAGCTTGCATTAAAGTGAATTATCGAGTTAAGAACGACATAAAAATTTCGAAGATATGAATAAAATCAACAACACAAAGCAAGTACGGCATGGAATTTTACTACTGAAATGTTTACACTTACCCAAACAGGCACCGCAACAACGATTAAATTATCGAAGACATCAACATCAAAACATCAAAACAATTATTATACAAACTTTGTTTCACGGTTGAACAGCCACTAATTCATGACAATGCAGGCTTATTTCCAGTTAAAGTCGAGAAAAAAAACCGTGTTGTACTTTTGTAAACTTTTTAACGAAATTTGAAACAAAAAATTGCCGTAAAACAACAAAATACGTTCAAAATAAGTCCTTTCAAAATGAAAAACAATTTAATACTTTAGACAGAGCTTGTACTCGCGCATGCGCATAACGTCGAAAACTGTCCATGACATAAACAAAATGGAGGACAACTTTGCACTCCGCTATGTTTTCACATGCCCTGGTATAATTAGCCTTGCGGAATTAGTGCCCTCGCACGGCGCTTCGCGCCGCCGGCTCGGGGATTAAATTTCTCACCCACCATGCATTGCGCTAAGCTAGCCCAGAAGATAGACGTAAACCACTTGTATTAAGACGTAGCTGTATATAGTAAAGCTTTATACCTTCTTCATGCATACAAGAAATTAAAAATGATTCAATTACCACGGAAACTTCTGACGCCTTAATTTTGTACACAAAAGTAAAAACTGTCATTGACGAACGTAGCGGTCCGAAGAAAGAGCCTTGTTGAACTCGACGTAAAATAAGATTCTCTTATTAAGTAAGTCACGAGCAAGACTCTATAGTTGTTCCAGATGTTTTATATAATACTGAATTTCTGTATATTTAAGAATATCATGTCCAGCAATATTGTTTTGCATTTTGTATCATCGATGCTCTTTATTTCTAAATTTTTATTCTCTTCCAGGTTCAGTGACGTGTCATGGAAATATGGTAAAGAATGCCAACTGTCCTAAAGATCAGTACATGGTGGTCAAGAATGCATCGTACCGTGGATTGCCTGCCACTAAGACATGTGGTTTGAGTGATGATTATAGTTGTGCAGTCAATGTAACATGTCTTGTTAAGGAATTGTGTGATGGTCAACATGAGTGTAATACAACTGTGGATGACAACTTGTTCTCTGGTGATCCTTGTCCTGGATTGACAAAATATCTCTACTTTGAATATCAATGTAATAATGACACTAGCGAAACCTTTGAAGACGTTTGTGGTACGTACGACACTGTCAAAGCGATGACCATTATTTAACTCCCCAGAAATCATGACATGAATAAAAAGGAAATATATCTTACGATAATTTTCATACACCCTCGGTGTACCTTAATCCATCAGTTATTCGCTTGTCCAACGCATATTTTCAACGCATATTTTCAACGCAACTCAACTGGAGTAGTCTCTTGTACCAAATTGAGTTCCATATAGTTGAACTAAACTACAATCGTGGATATAACTTGTTAATAAAATTTGGCTAAAAGTTGTGATTTGTTTCCTGTATCTCACCTAAACCACATTCCCCCGCCCCTTCCCCCAGCACAATGTTGCTGAATTACGTTTAAAATGTGGGGAAAATAATGGCAACATTGGGTGGGGGAGAGGGGGGAAACTTAATGAAGTTATTTGAATGTATTTTCCTAAAATTTCGATCTATTTTATTAACAGTTTTGTCCACGATTGTACCCTGGATTCCAGAGCCTTCTACAGTAAATAATAAATTGAAATGTCGCGAAGGCTCTGGTTCAACGGGGCGATTCTTTGATTACACCGCGCCAATCACAAAACAGAATTAGTGGTTTTAGTACAGATTCTGTAGGGTAATCAAATCATTGTATATTCAAAATGTCCGAGTTATATATTAATTTTATTTGTACTATTTACAACATGAGCGGCCGTGTTGTATCGTTGTTTGTATATCCGATACAACACGGACGCGAATGTTGTAAATGGCTTAAAAACCGAATCACGTTATGAGTTCATTGGCGAAGTAATTTTAAAAATAAACGTTGTCTAAGCCGAGAAAATCAAACTTAAAGTTTATGTAAATCAACATGAATCCTGTATCACATATACAGATACGACACGCTTATGATTTTTCTTTGTGTTTCTTCATGAATTATTAATGAGTTTTTTTAAATTTAAAGGCCCTGTCACACTATTACGTATCGTACTAGCGTATGCCAGCGTATGAAAAATATCATTCATACGCCGGTATACGTTGACATACGCTAGGGGTACGTTAGGCATAGGTTGTATACGTTTCAAGCACGGTGAGTCGCATACTGTGGCATACGCTGGCATACGGCGGGGCAGAAAATTTTTTTTAAGCATGTTCAAAAATTTTGTGCGCATCGAACGTATGCTTTATACGATAAGCATACTCTAGGCACACGCTGAATACGCTAGAGGTACGCCAGATCATAGGCCAGATGTACGATACTCATACGCTGGTATTTCAAAAGATTTTTGTGCGTATGAAAATTATTTCATTAATTTTGATACGCTTCTCATACGTTTCTCTCATTCGCAATAATGTGACAGGGCCTTAAGTACAAACCTTGGTTTTATTCTTCAGCTCCAAGCGGTCCTCCATTGAACATCAAAACCTCATCAAGAAGTACATCATCATTGTCTTTCATCTGGGATCCTCCTGAGAAAGATAAACAGAATGGCGTCATTATCGGTTATACTGCATGTGTTTCACATTCAGAAAATGGTCCTTGCTTCAAAGTATATACCACAATTGAAAGAGAGTGGATCGTGAGAAATTTGAACCCATCAACAAAATATTATGTTCGTGTTCTTGCCAGTAATAAAGCAGGAAATAGTGCTTACAGTGGAAGTAAAGGATTTTTTACTAATGGAAGTAAGTACAAAATCAATATTTCGATATTGTCTGTGGTAAAGAAAACGCTCATTCAGAATTTGACGTTTGCCTACTTTTATGCCGTTCAAAAATCCTACACAGAGCTTCGTTCTGGCAATACATTTTACTCATTAATACTTTCACATTTTCCTCCAGGAGCGGCAAAGAAGGCCACAGACATGACATCAAGTACGCTCACATTTTCGTTGGAAATTCCATCAAAAACGTTTCTGTAAGTTTATCGACTTTATGATGGTACCATTAAAGTCTAGCTTCCGTGGTAGTATATACTTGTAATATACTGAGTCTGGACACTATATCTTGTTTTTGTATACTGTATGCAAATCATTTTTAATTTTCATTGCATACACAAGTTGACACATAGACATAGTGCCAGCGCCATGACCAAATAGAAAACAAGCTTCCATTGAGATTAGTCTTAGATATTAGGAAGCTATTTGGATCTATTGTTATATTTGAAGTAAGAAAGTAAAATTTTGTTTGTAGTTATTTCTACGTAGTGGCGTTAAATCTAAAAGATGGCAAGGAACCTGCATCATCTGACAGTTACCAGAACAGTGAGTTAGTGACGTATGCCGAGGCAAGAAATTCAACCAATCCGAAACCTTATATCGCTGCAGTTGTTGCATCAAAGGATGAAAACATGTTTATACTTGGTGATGGCAGAAATACAAGTGATCCAATATCACGAAGACGCAGATCAACCTCAAGTGATTATTATAATGGTCCGCTGGAGCCTGGCACTAGTTACAGTATTTTTCAAAGGATTGTACTCATCAGTGACAAGGTATGCCACTTGTTATGACATCTATTTGGAAACTAAACAGAAGTCATCGTCTTATGTTTTTTTGAAATTTTTCTGAGTTTATGTTCATTTGAGCATGGTCACGGTGATTGAGCTCATTGTATTTCGTATAATAAAGTGATCGTTTAATAGGGATAGCTGAGATAAACGTGCAACCACGATGAGTAATATTTAATGAAGTTGAGACAAAGGATTTGCGCACGGTGAGGTCCAGTTCAACAGCAAACAAAGGTTTTCTGTTTTGTAACTTTGCCGCGCTTCCAGACCATCATATCGGCTTGATAGACTATGGTTATCACACTTTAGCTTTCCTTATCTAATTTCTCCTCTAAAAGCAATTTGGCATTGACACACATGCCAAACGTGCTAAGAACAACGCGATAAAGTCTTTCGTGTATCTATAACAACGCTGATAAATTTCCATTTACTTCCTTTACTTTAGAGTGAATATTCAGTCCACAGACTGGAGCTCTGCTTCAAAAACGAACGAATATGCAGGTAAATACAGAAAAACTATTTAACTGCATTCATATATGAGTTAAGTTAGATAGTGAAGTCACGAGTAAAGAATACCCTGTTGGTCGAGATGAAATGCCCATGCAGCGTGGTTATCGGCTAACGCAAGCTGTACTTTTGACCTTTCTGCAATAAACGACTGCAAGGAACTAAAGAGAATTAAAACATCTAAGTCAACTGAGTTGGCTAATATACCTGCACGCCTCCTTATAAAGGCGGCTGTAATGCACTTGCTAAACCTCTAGTTATCTTAATGAACAAATCACTTGCAGAAGGGGCCATACCATCTGACTGGAAATGCCATGGTAACTCCTATGTATAATTAAAGTTAGTTCAAAGACGGATCCTGCAAACTATAGACCGATCTCGGTGTTGCCAGCTTTTTTTAAGATACTTGAGCGCGCTCTACATACCATGGTTTACCATTATTTCCAGGAAAATCAACTGTTAACTACTTGTCAATCAGGTTTTCGCCCGCTACATTCCACCAGAACATGCCTCATTGACACAAAAAAACCCAATTAACCCATAATAACGACAAAGGATTGCTTACCGGTATGATATTCCTGGTCCTATCCGAGGTCTTCGATACTCTAGACCACCAGATGCAAGAAAAATTATCTCTATTAGGGTTCAATGCTTCCTCAGTCCTTTGGTTTAACGAATATCTTACAAAGAGGACACAAAGTGTCATTATAAATGGCGTAGTTTCCGACCCTCAATCTATTCCATTTGGAGTTCCTCAAGGGACAATATTCGGCCCCTTACTATTTATTGTATATATAAATCAATAAATGGAATTACCATCTGTAGTGAAGAACTGTAAAGCCTGATTTCCACTAGGCGGAATTATGCGCGCGGAGCGACATTTTCCGCGCGGAAACTGAAAAAGTTGAACTGCTTTCAACTTTGTGGCTGCGGAAAATGTGGAAATCAGGCTTAACATCCAGCTGTATGCTGACGACACTATTTTATTAGTAGGCTAACTCCATTACAACGATTGAGTCTATTTTGTCCGAATATCTAAATTGCATAATTCACTGCCTGAATAATTTTTTATTATATTTTATCTTACAATCTAAATATTATGGAAGATAGATCTTAAGAGGCGAACCATTAGAAATCCCGGGAGAGGGGAAATCCCCCCCTCAAAAAAAAAAAATTTGTGCAAAGAAAAATGCCTGGAAAAAAATTCGTGCAACCATTACGTCAGAGTAAAAAAATTCGTGCAAGCAAACAGCGAAGTACAAATAGTATTGAAAACAAATTCGTGCAGAGGTTAAATGCATTAAAAAAATTTCCAGCAGAGACGAGACTGAAAAAAAAGTTCGTGGCACAAACATTTTATACCCTCTCCCCCCCCCCCCCGGGTTTCTAATGGTCAGCCCCTAAGAAGGCCATAAAGGCCTTTAATGACATTCCAAATTGTACTCATTAGACTTTACCATATTTAGATTGTATGTAAATATTTATGATATTGGTTGTAATTGTGTAAGATCTGCAATTTTGTTTGTAGCCAGGGCTCCGCTCAAACCAGCTGCTGAATCGGACATCCCTGAATAAATATTTTCTTCATCATCATCAATCCATTATTCGTAGAAAGTAGTGTTTGTCCATTTGTTCGTCAACAACTTGTTCTTTGCTAGTTATTTAAACATTTCTTGTATTTTTCGTTTCCCAATTGGCCCTGGTGTACTGACCAAGCAATCCAGTGGTGATATAAAGGCAAAGGAAAGTGATCTTGTCAACCTACTGTGTTCTGCTCAAGGTGAACCTCCAATTACTTTCAGCTGGAAAAAAGACCAGAAGCCACTGGACAGTATCGTAGAAATAGAAAAGCCCCACCGCAGTTCTTTCCTTGTTGTAACAGTGAAAGACCAAACAAGTTTTGGAAAATATATTTGTCATATCCGAGACCGATTTCAAAGCACTACTCATACAATTTCTATCCAGAAAGATACAGGTAATACTACATTCGACTTATTCATTTATCACAAATTTGCTAAAACAAAACCTAAGCAGTAACACAATCCGTTTGTTTTAAATGAGTTATCTTGAATGATTACGTGATCCAAGATGTGCATTTTCAGACATTCAAAGTTAGCGCGTTGTTTACTTTTTACACAGGAGCAGAAGATGGTGAAAATTATCTTGCTGGAATTATAGTATTAGCAGTTCTGCTGGCCATTTCATTTGTTGCCCTTGCTTATTTCATCTGCCAAATACGTCGACTCAAATCGTCAAAGGCAAACCCGGAGAACAAGAGGAAGGACAGAAATAGTTCTAAAGATATTTATGAAAATCCTGACAAAGTTGAAGATGATGTGAATTATGAAAACGTGGAAAATGAACAGTCGACGTATAAAGGTCTCGAAAACACTGGGAAGGACGAAAATGATGATCACTTATATAGCCAACTAAATGAAGTACACAAGGACTACGTGAATCAGAAGGAAACTGGAATTTAAGAGGCTCTTATACTAAGCCCGTTTGGTTTTTCTAGTCAATAATAAGCTTAATATAGAAAAACAAGTCAGCATAAATTTGTTAAACAACCAAACTGAACTCTTTCGACTTGAATAGGAAATTGACAATCCGAAGTAATTGTTAGACTGTTATCGTTAGGCCGCCCGACTGTATTTTAAGAGCCGCGTGAAATTTTTTTATATTTTGTTATACAATATAAATGTACCGCCCGACAAAATATTTCAAGACAGTTAAGTTTTTTATATTTTATATTGGGTTTTTAGTGCCATTTTAAACTGCCAATTTCAAACAAATAGAACCTTGAAAGAAATTTCATTGTATTTTAACAGAACTTCGCATTCAGTTCAAGGGCCAGTCATTGTTCGTGGAGAAATGTTTATTTCAGTTTGTGACACTTTTATTTAATATTGATAAAAAATTATATAAATATAAAATATAAAATATAAACCTCCCGCCTCTTCGACATTTTCAAAGTGTAGTGATGAGAATCAAGGAATTTATTTTATGTGGCCTTATATCTGAACTGATGTATAAAACATAATCTATAACCGTGAGTACATTCCACTACGTGATTTAGGAATGTTTGATATTTGTTATTCATTAAATTTCAGAAGCACCGCAGACTTCATGCTGAATTTCAATGAATATATCTGTTATTTTGCTTCGCATCGTTGGTTCATTTCTTCTGCTTTCATAACGCGTACTTGATTTGAAGTGCTTTCTCGATTAAAGAAGATGTTTTCAAAGTGTTTTCATTTTGTAATACTGACGGTGATTATCCTGTTACTCCAAGGTACGTTTTCTGTCATTTATAACATGCATTTATATTTCATATGCTTTCAAACAGGCAGTCACTTCCGCGCTGAATCTAGCCTCATAATAAATGGCAATGCGGATCATAAACACTCATCACTTTTGTTTCAGAAAGCTAATGGGGAAACTTGTTCATATTAAACTAGCTATTACCCTTGCCTGGGGGCCTCGTTCTCATGAAGACGGAAAGCAATTCGCTTACGATTCATCAGAATGGGGCTTCCAGGCCAAAAAGAGGCTTGTGACGTAAATATCGAAAGGGAATCGAATATCGGAATCTTATTTGCTAAACCTCCTGAGATTGTGGAAAGAAAAGAAAATATTCACACTCCTGTTGAACCGTCATTTCAAAGCACGTACCCAGAGCTTCTGCACTTGTGGCTCTCATCATTCTCACCCTCGGAGCCACTTTCACTCTGTCACTCGTTGAAAATTAGGCTCTGGGTTAGACGACTAAAGGGAGAGATCTGATTGGCTTCTCAGAGAACTACCATTTCCCAGAAGTTGAGCAGTTTTCTCTAGGGAAAATTTTTCTATCAAAACATGTCAACACAACTACTTCGTTTCTTTAACACTTCTCAGGTGCTGAAGCGTCCCAATTCAAGAGTATAAGCTTTAGAAACTACTGCAAGTTTTCTTGCACTTCCGGTTCCGTGTATCCCAGGGTCTACGAGGGTCGCCCGCGGAACGAGGATGGGCGGGATCTCATTGATTATGTTTGCTCATATTTGTTCCCACGTCTCATTCCGGATTTTATACTAATTGTAATTGCAATTAACTCTTAACCAATCAGAATTCACTCATTTGTAAAGTGCAATTAAGCCGAGACTACTTTTAGTAACCAATTTATTGCAAACACTTTTAGAAAATCTACTATCACAGAATCACGCCATCCATAAGTGCACAGCAAACGAAACTTTAAAACACGGGACTTGATGGCTGTTCAGTAATACGTGCTGAATGTTCACTACGACTTGACGAAGGTCCTGAATCGCCCCGTGTAAGAGGCGTAACCTTGTCTGCCTTTGGAGAGTTTTGGGAATGTTCAATCGCTATCTTGCACGTCCCTAAATGTCTTTTCATATTGCATTTTTGAGTGAATCTCGTATTACAAAATTCACATTTGAAAGGCTTAAGTCCAAAGTGTAGTTGTCTGTGTACTGCCAATGAGTTTACATTTGCCAACGTTTTGTTACATTTCTCGCAAGTCAACTCTGATTTTACTACTTCCACTTTTGGTTTTGCCGGCAAAGTCTTTGGTTTTTCTTTTGGCTTCCGTACAGCAGTCGTTCCTTGATGTATGTATCTAAATGGGAAAAGTAATGTTAGGGGCATGGGTCCATTACTATAATAATGTCATACATAAAAGTGTTACTTTTCTGTGATTGGTTGATTTCAGTGCAGTTAATCCGAAACAGCAGTGCAAAAATCTGTAATCACAGTGCAATTTTCTGTAATCACTATGAACCAATCACAATTGAGATACGTTTTGGCGGGAAAAATTTAAAAATATTCTTTTTTCAAAACAAACATGGCCGCATTTAGCGGTGCAAAAAGATTCCCACACTTGGTCAAGTTCAAGTTTGATTGTCTAGAATACTTTTATGTAAATATTTAATAAGTAATAGCACAGTTTCTTGTGAAATTTGGATTGTGAGTTCTTCAAAGACCTCAAATGGCACTCGTGCTTCGGACTCGAAACCATGCTATTACCTATACTAATCTTATATAAGTTTCGAGTTTAGATTATACATGACAACCGGGCCAGCCCGCTTTGCCGATATCTTGGCTGATGCAAGCAGGCTATCCCCATTTACTGGGATGAAATTTTCCATGTATTTGTTTCGTCTGGGCAAACCGGGTTGAAAAATCGCACACACACACGGTTTTTATATTGAAAATGTGAACAAATAACGACAAAAGAAACTCAAACTAGTATCAAAGACTACGTTTACACGATAGAGCAAAAGTTTCCGCAGTTGTAAAAGTATCCAGATTCCTTGTTTTTCAAGTATATACGGATCCGTGAGTAATTAGGTAAATAATTTTAAGTGATATTATGCGATATCTTGTTTGGCGGTTGAATTTAAATAGCAATGAATTTGAATAACATACACCGGAACAAATCGATTCAGATTGTTTACGGAAAGCCGTTCTACAAGAATTTTCTCAGGATTCAAATGTTTCCGCGGATACGAAGTTCCCACAAACGTTTCCGGATTCAAAGTTTCCGGACCCGGCACGAAACCGAGAAGATTTACTACTATCGGATTCGTCGCTGCGTGTGTAAACGGCAACATGAATCCGGTACGAAAACGTTCCTGTTTCGTGATGAATCCGAAAACTTTCGCTCTAGTGCAAACGTGGTCAAAATGAGACCTGGAAAAAAGTGGTATGTTGGAACCCAAGATCATGAGGTACATTTGCCTTAGCAAGATGATAGAAGAACCTTTTAAATTTGTCACACAATCATACTTCCTTATTTGTCATTTAAGATTGTGAAGTGTTGTTCAATGTTCAAATTTGGAGCAATGTGGTGTCAATCAATGTCGCTATGGTCAAAGACTTTGCCTAGAAGCGTGGCATATAAATATGAGTAATCATGCTTTGAATAGGGATGACGGTGCCTATTTGCCAGAGGAATATATGCATCTCATTGGCAGGTGACGTCATCCCTTGGGTATTTAAGAAGCCACGGTTGCATCTTTAGATCACCCCTGATGAAGACACTAGACTGGAGTGTCGAAACGTTGGGTCTTGATTACAATTCGACTGGGATTTGTAATCATTTATTTAAACCAGAGTAGCGAGCGAAACATGAAATTTTCCATTGTTTCACGCACTTTTCACGGGGTCAAAATTTTCATGCAAATAATAAAAAAATACTCTGCAGTTTTGAGAGCTAGACAAAAAACAATTTCATGTCATAAGCATTTCAAATAAAAATATACTTACTTCATATGTTTGGCTAGATTAGTTATTATTATTATTATTAAATTGAAACCACATTGCAGCCAGAAGCTGAATTGCGTGGATTACATATTATCACATGCACTACATATAAATATATTATTAATACAATATTATAAAAACCCACCCACGATCAAAATTCGATTAAAATAAGCATAAAATCTATCCTACAAACTTCCTACACATAGCAGGGATAAAAGAGTTATAAAAGCGGTTCGTGCGTGTAACGTACATATTAAAATACCGATTCGTCCTGAAAGTATAATCAGTCTCGTTCTTCGGGGGCAGCAGATGATGAAGTTTATGCATTGGATCCTTGATGATACTCGTAAAGAATTTGTCACACATGTCCTCTCTTCTTTGAAATAGAGTAGGCAGTCTAAAATACTCAAGGGCCTCACAATATGTCATTTCAGGAGATAAAATTTTTAGCACACGTTTCTGGACAGTCTCAAGTTCGTCTGCCAAATACTTTTGGATGGAATGATGGAAGGCTTGCGCACAATACTCGAGCACAGGCCTGATCACTGTACAATAAAAGTTCAAGATATCATTGACATTTACGCTTGCCCGTTTCAATAATACTATAAAATAGAGGCGTTTATTAGCTTTCTTTATACTCTCACTGATGTTATCTTTCCACTGAAGTGTGCCTGTCATAACAAGACCCAATATTTTTGCACTCTCAACTATAGGCAATGCTTCTCCACCCACCAGTACAGGATCAAAAGGTTGTTTAATTTTTTTTAAATCGA